AGTTTGAGCCCAATCGGGTACTTTGACCCCCTGGGTAGTGTGCGCCTAAATAAAAACGCTTGTCATATTTTTTTTTTTTTTAAATAAGAATAAATTTAATTTGAACTGACAATTGAAGAACATGAAAATTCTTAGTTAAAACTAAGTAAATAACTTAAAAAACTGCCTTATTTTCTAAAGAAAATTTTGAACAATCTAAAAAACTAAATACAATAGCCGAATTATTTGCAAATTTTTTCAGTTCGCATTTAACGCGTGAAGGAAGCAATTGCTGACACGAGCATTTTCTTTTATATTCATTGTGTATTAGTAACACACATTAAGTGCTTTATGATTTAATGTGGCAAAATACTATGTGTCATAACTGGATAGGAAATAATGGGCTGTGTTGCATTGGACATAGCTATCGGTTGTGATGTATTCATTGTGATTCCCATGGATGGTGCTGCAAATTAAAGAGAAAATTATATCATCATCAACAACAGCTCCAATTCGAAGTCATTTGCTAAGAACTTACCCGTAGCCAGTGTAATTTGTGCCGGTGTACCGATGATTTGTCCAGTACTTGCTTGTTGTACAACTTGTGTACCGCTGGCCAATGCAAGCTGTTGACCTTGACTTGTTGTCGCCGCTATTGCTATGGGTGCACTACTTGCTATGATTTGAGTTTGTGGCTGCGCTATACTTGCTATACTGACAATTGGCGTTGCTTGCATTTGAACGGGCGCTATTGAAACCGCATTCAAAACCTGTTTATTTACAAATAACAAAAATTTCAATTACAATCACATCGGATTTAAAAGACTTCCACGCACATGTAATAAGGTCATATCATGAAATACCAACTTACCGGTGTTGCTGATTGTTGTGATGCTGTCGTTAATGTGACCGGATTCACAATTGTATTTGTACAGCTACATTGTGTTTGTCGTCTTAGTTGCTCATTTTGTTGTAGTAAATACGTGTTTGTGGCACGTAACTCTTGTAATCTTTCTTCGTTAATTTCAACACGTCTTCGCAGTAAATTGTGCTCTTCGTATAACCGATAAATATTGATAACGTCTTCGGTAATGACGACCGACGTTGGTACGGTCGTTGATTGTGCATTCACAGCTTGGCCAACATTTTGCTCAACAAATCGACACTGATGGGCCGCATCATTATTCTGTGTATTGTATGTAGGCACCGTCGTTGAACGTAAATCTTCCATATGTGACCGTTTTGATGGTATAATCGTTTCATGATTGTTGTTGTCAGTCATACCAAATGAACGTCGTCGTGATACCAAAGGCATTGACGAATTCTGCGTAAATGATGGTTGTTGATTTGATTGTGGTGGGGGATTTGTCATCATATTTTCACGATTTGCATAGCCATAATTCAAATGGGGTGGCGGCAGCGAAGGTGGTGCTATATGATGATCGGACTGATTCATATTCGGGACAATCGTAGGTCTTTCTGTTGGGAACACCCCATAGGCTCTATAATGCTCTTCATCCTCTATTGTTCGATGAATAAATCTTTAATAATAAAATATTTAAAAGAATCGATTGAAAAAAAAATATTCATCCAAACATCAGTCTTAATTCAATTCGCACTGTACAAACCTGCAATTGGATCGAAAGCATCCATTGTTTTGAAAATCGTGACAGAAAACCACTTGATCACTGGTCATTGCATGCGGATACTGTAAAATCAAAAATCGACAATCAGAAGTGACTTAAAACATATGCTTAAAATTGTTTGTGCAATATTTTACCCGGCAGAAACGACGGCGACACATGCCCTTTTTAAAATCGTAGCAGAGGGGTGTTTTCGAGCGTTTTCCATTACCATCCGATTGTGCTGTATGATTGTTATCGTTTTTCTTCTCTGCATTCAATCGCGAATTATCTGCTGTCATTTCATCAGCATTATTTTGAGATGAACTGGGTGATTTTTCACGTTTAACCTTCGAATTTTCCACAAATAATGAATTGCCCAATTTTTCCCCGATCAAATGTCGTTCCTCATCCTTTTGATTTGTTGTGTAATCAATGTTTATCTTTCGTGATAATTCCATACCACATTCGACACTCATTTTTATTTGCACCAACAAATTTGTTTATTAATAGCGAGAACAAACAAATTCGCGCGTTCAACAATTTAAAATTGAAATATTTTTTTCAAACTTTTTTTAAGACCAAAATAAATTCGCTTTTCGTTCCGAACAACAAAACAAATAACAAAATTTTCCGTACAAAATAATATTGCTTAAACGAAATGTTTTGTCACTAACATTATCGATGACTGTGCGATGTTTCACCGATTAAAGACAATAGGAAAAAAATGGTGGAAAAAAGTCACTTTGTTTTAGTTTGTTTTGAAAAATGATAGAGAAGAAATCGTATTAATATATGCACACTAGTTTATTGCGTGAATTCATTGATGTTTTCTGTCAAAAGGAAGCATAAGACGACGAAATGTATGGAATAAAATCGAAAATGTCAAAGTCATATGTCGACAGTTGTGTAGGTTGTTTTGATTTGAACGATTCACTAGCACGAATGACTTTTTGAAAAAAATGATTTTTTTTATTAAAACCAAAAAAAATTTCGAGGAAATTTAAATAAAAATGATTTTATATCATGAAATAAGAGTGAAAAGTTAAATAAAAAAATATCGTTCAAAGTGTCTGTGATCGAATCCACAATTGAAACCTAGATGGCGTTGGGTGTCCGCTTTATGAGCAGACGCATTGATTGGTTTGTCAATGGCATTTATTGCTGTGAATTTGTTTACTTCTCAAAAGTGAAAAAAAAAATGTTACGCGTATGGCGGCAGTGCTGTGAATGAGAAAAAAAAGAGCAATAAATATTGAATTGAAAGTTATCACAAAATCACTCAACATCACACACGGAATACGAATGGAATAGTTGAGCATAAAATGGCATCGATTGAAGAGCTGCAAAGCTCTATTCAGCAATATGAATTACAAGTAAGTAACAAAAAAAAATGACAAAAAAATTGCCAATGATTTGGTTAACAAAATATTGAATTGTGTATTTTTCGTTGTTGCCAGTTGTCGCAGGTCAGTGAAGCAATAAAAGCCTGTTCAAATGATACGGAAAAGGCATCAATGGAGAATTTAAAGTGTGATTTACAAGAAATACTCGACTTGACACGTGAAACATTAAACGAAATGCAGGGAATGTCCAAATTCACTGAAGAGTTAAATGAAGAAGAAGATCCGTATGCACAAGAGATGGCCATCTTTTTAGCCGAACTAAATGAATGTGGTGGAACTAGCACAGGAAAGACAACAGAAAATAACATAAATAAAACACCAAACGAAGTGGATAAATTCAAAGTAATTAAAAAAAAACCATGTTATTTTATGAATTATTAACTTAAAAGTGAATTGATTTGAATTTTATAGAGTGATGTCGATACAATAATTGGGCGTAAGTGTTCAGCACCATATACATTTGCGTGGGGAGCAAAAAGTTATCACAATGCATTGATTTGCGGCCTCGAAACCGATATCAATCAAATCAATACAATGGATGACATAAACGTCATGGTTCTATTCACAAATCCAATCCATCGAAATATGGTGCCGTGTCCATTTTACTTGGATGGAAATTGTCGATTCGAATTCAATAAGTGTCGGTGAGCATATCAAAACACAATATCTGTATATGAAGAACCAATTTTTCAACGAGATTCTTTTTTATATATACTATTTAGGTTTTCACATGGTGAAGCTGTACGTTATGTTGACCTACGGGAATATAACAAGCCAAATTTTTCGCTGCTCAATCAAATGAAGCATCCAGTATTAGCAAAACAAATCGATAATATTTGGTATAAAGGTCGAGTTATATCAAGTGATTTCAATGAAAAAACCTGCCAAATAAAATTCGAAAATTCGAAAAAAGATGTGGCTAAATGTGATTTTCATGATATTTTACCAATTGAAGAAGGTTAGTTACAAAACAATTCTTGGAATAACTGTGATAAATGATTTATTTTTTATGATATGTTATTTCTTGCATTTCACAGAAACGCCATTTGTTGCCTCCGACTCCGAAGTATCGGAAGAAGATGATGTTGAACAAATTGTAAAAGCAAATCTAATTGCAAAAAGTCTATTAACACCAGCACCATCCGAACGACTGGGCGCTTGGGAGGCATACACAAAAGTAAATTTCGATGTTTTCTTCATTTTCAATTCTATTTATCACAAATACTAATCATTATTCACTATGTTGTATCTCAAGGGATTTGGATCTCGAATAATGCAAAAAATGGGCTACGTCATTGGTACTGGATTGGGTCAAAATGGTGAAGGCATCGTGGTGCCGATTAGCGCTCAAGTTTTGCCCCCAGGTCGAAGTTTGGATCATTGTATGGCATTGCGTGAACAAGCAAACGGTGACAAAAACCTATTCAGTGTGGAACGAAAATTAAAGCGTCAACAAGAACGACAGGAGATAATCAATGCCAAAGCATATGAACGAGAAAAGCAAAATCAGGATATTTTCAGTTTTCTAAATCAAAATATATTGAATAGCATGCCAAGTACGTCGGGCAATCAAAATAATTCCGGTGGTCAAATGAAACACTCAAAATTGGATATTAAGACGCAAACGAATAGAAAATTAAATGTTGAGAGCTTAAAGATTGGAGAAGACATTCGTAAAATGGAAAAAGAGATACAAAAATTACAGGAGTCGCTGCGTCGTCAAAAGGACAGCACACACATTTCACAGCAATTAAATATGCAACTCGATATTCGAAAGACGGAATTAGACCGCATGAAAAAATCGGAGAGTTGTCTACAGAAAGAGCAAAAATTGCGAACAGACAAGTCAAAGCTAACAATTTTTTAGATATAGATTTTTTTATTATTGTAACGAGATAATAATAATTCTAACGTTCGATGTTCGTGCTAATTTAATCGCAATCGATTATTTAATGATAACCTTAACTTATTAACATTTGAAAATTCATAAAATCGAAAAATTGGAATAAACAGCCCGAATTACAACGATAAAAAAATGCTCAACAAAATCAATTCGAGTTTAATGCAGCCTTTGTTTCTTTTCGTATGATTTCAGCCGTTAATTTGAGTATATCAGCGGAGCCCATTGTCTCTTTCCCTTCAATACTTTGGTATAATTTCACATAAAATTGATTCATAATGTCGCGAATCATATCACCTTTGCCTGCATTTCCCGATGATTTATTGCTTTGATCATGTTGTTCCTTTAATTGTTCACGTAATGTGTCCATTTCAGCGTTTTTCTTTTCAAGTTCTTCGCGTAAAACATTCATTTCTTTTGCATGATTTGCAATGATGTCGGCTTTATCCTTTTCGATTGATTCCATTCCCATCTTTAGACTTTGTTCGGTTTCTTCCCACTTGTTTTTCAACTCCACAATATGATGCTCTTGGTCAGTGATTTTTCTTTGCAATTCCATCCATTCTTTGTCATTATCATTTTCACGAACTATCACCTTTTCGCCTTCAGTCAATTGCATTTTCAATGCACGATTTTCCTTTTTTAGTTCCAGCACTTTTTCTTCCAACCTGATGATTTCTTCATCTTTATCACTGGCATTCGTTGCATGTGTTGCTTTGAGTCGAAGACCTAGAATTTTGAAAAAATCATTAAACCAAACTTGTGCCTTTTGTAAAAAAAGCTATAGCTTACGTTCAATATTGTCCAACATGCGGTCCATTTTCGAGTCCAACTTTGATAAATTCATTCGTACTTCTGTATTTTGGATGCGATTTTCGGTGGCAAATGAATTCAAATCGAATGTAGATGATGGCCAAAATGATGGTTGCAAGGCAACTGAGATATTGGCCGGTTTTGGTGGCAGTTGACCTGTTCGTTCTGCAATGTTATAAGCCGGCTTGATGTTTGGCACTTTTTCTGTATCCGAAGGTTGAGTCGAATCACTATCATCATCGGCTGTAACTGGTTTGATTTTCGGAAGTTGATGACCAATTCTTGCGACACGGTGCACCACATCGTCCTTAGTTTTGAGAATTGGACTGTTGGTCGAATCAACTTCGTCGGGTTTTTCTGCGTTTGATTTTGAACTAACCTCTTCAATCTTTTCCAATTCAACCATATTGATTCGATCGCTTGCCTCGAATTTTATTGCGTTGGCTCGGTCAATGTCACAAACTTCTTCTAATTTTGCGAAGAAATCAGTGCAATCAGCATCATGTGTGAATAATAAGCTCCAAAATCCATTCATATCATCATGATATTGTAAATATGGTGGCTTCCAATACACCTTCGTCGATCTTTTCAGCAAAAATGTGGACAAAATTTGCTCTTTCGTTTTGTAAAGAATCAACTTTGATGTATTCTCGAATGGGTTTTGCAACAATGCCAAACCAAGATGACCGATTGATGTATTGATGTCGCTTATCCTGAAATACAAAAGAACTCCAAATAAGTTGAATGAACAAGAATGATTGAAACAGTATTGCAGTACATACAATTTGAATGCGGTAACAATTTTTGCAATAATGACATTCCACGTTGGTTTGTTCGTGTGGTCCATTTTCTGTGTTTGCGGTTGTGTTGATTTAAGTGGCACATATTTCAATGTTGGATTCACTTCATTGGCACGCTCTGATTCATCAGCTTCAAATATGTCGGCCAAATTTGATTTTCTAGAAGAAAAAGAAAATGATGAAAATAAGATCGACATTTTTTTTATTGTGTATTACTCATTTGAGGTGGGTCCACGGAGAAAATTATCAAATTCATTTTCATCTTTATCCAAGAATGACAATCCGTTAAACATCTTTACTATCCAATATATTCCGCATTAAAAGCATAAGACACGTTTCGCAATTTTCATGAAAAAACAGAAATCAAATTAGATTTTATGCTCACTACGATTCAACGAGAATTTCACAATAAACCGATAGATGATATAGCAAACATTAAACACGATGAGAAATGTCAAATGACTATGATGTGTGTGTGTGTGTGTGCTTAGTTTATAGTAGAAAAAATGACACGCAGATGGTGCTCAGAGTGCGAGAAGAAACAACGCGCTGATCAAAAGCAAACGTCAATCATGTGTCAGTGCTCGTGCATCGTTCGGTTCGGATTGTGTTGAGGAACTTGTTTACATTAAAAACGCGAAGCGACGGAAAAATGACGCAACAATATACAAAACAACGAGACCGTTCATCGTACTAGCGTATAGTCTAATTCACATACATGCATGCGGTTAGCGCTGTCTTTTCTTCGTTCATACTTGTTCCGTTCGGAGTTTCAATCATTTTTCATTTGGCTGACACAATCACATGCACATAATAAGCACAGCGAACGAAAGAACGAACGCGACGTTTTGTTTGTGTGCAAATTGTGCAGTAAGTTTACTCAATTCATAGTGAAACAATACACGTACACACGTCGTGTCGCACATACAATTGTGTGTATTTTCCTTATTATTATTTTTTTTTTGCACGATAGACGAACAGCTTAACGATAAACACCCGATCGAACATCACTTTCCAACAAAAAGTCAAGGTGTTTGCAACCAAACATTTTTCACACATCCATTTTTTTCCTGCATTTTGCTCTGCACATGCAACTCTCACAATTTCAATCACGTTTTGATTTGATATTAAAGAAAAATTAAAATAAAATTAATTTTTATTCGTCAACGAAACCAAAAAATCCCGGTCAAAACTAAACTTAAGTGTTTTTTTTTTAATTTAAAAAACAAACAAGTGATTTAAAACCAACATAAAAGAAATTGTACAGAAACAAATCGAGGAAAAATACCACGACAAAAAAAAAATTATTTGCCGTCGTTTTGGATTGATTGTGTTCATTACAATTTAACAAAAAAAAAATTGTAGCAAAATTATATCTATAATATAATATAAATTCATCGGAAACACATAGCAACAAATAAGGAACAAAAAGAAATCGTCAACATTTATAATTAGAAAAAGTAAATGAAAGTGGAATTTCCGAAAACGCAAAGTGAACAAATTTATAAAAAAAAGATAAAATTAACGTTCACTCAAAATAAAATTGTAACATTGCCATTGTTTGTGATATACATGTATCTAAATTTATTTTCTTCGTAAATTTGTACGCTAATATCGAGTTGTTCCCGAACAAAAAAAGTGTTCTTTTTTTCGCTCTTCGTTTTATTGCAAAATCGAACCGAGTCAATTTCTAGTTGTGTCTATAGAAAAAACAAAATTAAAATAATAATATATATCACATATACGACGTCAGAGAGAATAATTGTTGTGAAACATTTTCATACACGCGAAGATGGAGGTTAGGTCGAACAATGAACAATGTGGAAATGATGCGGCGGCGGTGGTGGTGACGGCCGCAACAGCGGTAACAGCAGCGGCAACGGCATCACTAGCTAAAGCAATTAATCAGTCGTTGAATTTGAATGAGACGACTGTTGTTGCAACACGGACTGCATTCGAAATGGATCCATCCAGAACTATGGTAAACGATGACATAAAACCACCTCTAACCAGAGATGAAAGTAAGTACTCAATAGCATTTATTTTCGGTATTTGTCCATGTGTTTTTCGTGCGATGCAAATTTTGAATAAATTTTAAATTGGACATTAGCCATTGCACAAAACCAAAAATGAAATCAATTTTAACCATGTGGCCGCAATGTGCTTTTTAAATGCACATGTGAAATTTTGATGGTGCTTCTTTTCAACTAATGCATTATTTTATTACAAACACATAGAACTGGTGGCTGATTTAAAGTCTCAAATTCCGGATGTGGACAATATTTTTAAAATTCATCGACGAATTGGTGAAGGAACATTTAGTACGGTTTTTCTAACATCTCTCCGCGGTCAAGAACACCTGCCCAAGAAGCGACTTTTTGCGCTAAAATACTTGATACCAACCAGTCATCCAAAACGTATTGCCCAAGAATTACGATGCTTAAAGGATATTGGGTAAGTTGTTGAATTTTTTTTTAGAAAAATGCGATAAAATATGATTTTCCGATCGAGGAAAAATCATCTCAAATAAACAACATATTAGTCAGACGTGTGTGCGTGTATGTGTAAATTGAATGAGCGAAAGATAGAGCGTACGCACATGCTGTACGAGTGTGTATGACCACTATAGTGCATTCATTGATTCAAGCATCGTGCTTTTCAACGCGTTCGAGGTTAGAATCACGACGAACACATGGTTGTTATTGTTCTTATTATGATGTGTGTTGTTTTTGTTTTTGAATATAAATGACGCAATGACAAATCTTTTCGTCCCTAATAAATAACTTTTAGCTATTTATCAACACAATATCCATGAAAATATTTTTTTCTCTCTCCCTCTCCCCCACGCTAACTCTCATTCTCATTTTCAAATTTGTTCAAATGTTTTTTCACTCATTGTTTTTTTTTCTATTTGTTTGTTTTTTTCTTCTTCTTAAATAGTGGAAGAGACAATGTAGTCGGTGTTGATTTATGCCTGCGTAATAAAGATGCTATAGCATTTGTGATGCCGTATATGCCGCACGATCGCTTTCACGAATATTTTGATAAAATGAATGTTTTCGAATTGCAAGAGTACATGAAAAATCTATTGATCGCCTTGCGTCGTGTTCATGAATTCGATGTTATTCATCGTGATGTTAAGCCGAGCAATTTTTTACACGATCGCAAAAATCATAAATTTTTGCTCGTCGATTTTGGATTGGCGCAATCGTTAGATGCGATGGAAAGTACAAAATCATTAAAAAGTAATATGTGTAAGGAAACCCCAAGTGACAAATCGAACAATAAACCAAATGAAGAAAACACCGAATGTGATAATAAAAGCGAACAATCAACTCCGACAGTACAACAAAGCCAAGACATGGATTGCATCATGGCGGAGTCTAGCGAAACGACTGAAAAGGCAACAACGGTGGCATCGACGGCGGCGACAGCGGCAACGGCAGAGCCAATGGAAACAGAAGACACGGCCAACAATTGTGTGGAAATGACCGTATCAGTAAATATAATGAATTTATCATCATATAATACCAAACGAAAGCTCTCCGAATACGACATTAGTGAAAATCAATGTACAACCAGTGATTTAACGAATCCCGCAAAACGATCACGTACACTTTCCGAACATTATCATCATCATCATCAACAACAACATCAACAGCAACCGCATCCTAATCAATTAACTGCTCAAAGCCATGAAAATACATCACAACAACAATCAAAACCACAACCACCACGCGGACCATACATTCCATCATCACAATTTAAAACACCATTGAAACAAATGAACGAGATCTCAAATCAAAAACAACCCAAGCGTGGAACCACTGAATTCCAATCACCACTTTCGGCTGACATCAAATCCACCGTTTTATCATACAGCATTGGTTCAAAAATTGAAAGTCAACGCAGTGGCTATATCAGTAAATTGTCACCAATACCGAAAATATCTCCAAAACTACCATATTCCAAGAATGTTCCGGATCACAGTAGCTTCAATACATCGACACCAACAACTGGTCGCAATAAATATAATGTCGACAATCGAAACAGTGGACGTAATGTCAAATGCTTTTGCTATGGCCGTCCAACGGTTTGCAACATTTGTTTGGTTAAGAAAGAGATTCAAGCAACACGGGCTGGCACTCCTGGCTATCGTCCAACCGAAGTACTTTTAAAGTTTCCGAATCAAACAACGGCTGTTGATTGCTGGGCAGCAGGTAAAAATCACATTTTCCCAAAATAATTCGATGAAACATTCTTTAATAAATATTTGTGTTTTTTTTCTCGTACCACAGGTGTGATCTTGATTTCAATCTTATCCGGATGCTATCCATTTTTTAAGAGCCGCGATGATTTTAATGCCTTGGCCGAAATAATAACCGTGTTTGGTGATGAAGTGGTGAGAAAAACGGCACATGCATTGGGACGCAATGTGTGCATCAGTCACAAGAAGCGACCATTACATTTGCGAAAATTGTGCATTCGCTTGCGAAATCGCCAAAAAATCCAAAATACTCCGTTCAATGAAAATAACAACAGTACAAATCTTCAGCAACAATGTGACAATTGTGAACAAAAAATGAACAATTGTCTTTGTCAAGACAGCGATTACAATACGGATTTTTCAAATGACGACATCTATCCGGACAGTGTGTACGATTTACTCGAGAAATTGCTGGCAATCAATCCGCATAATCGTATCAGCGCAAAAGACGCACTTGAACATCCATTTTTTCAAGAGACGATTTAAAATAGCCACAATTATTTCTCTCTTATTCACCTATCTAACATACACAACCTTACACACACACACACACACACACACACACACACACACACACAAATACTTACACCAAATTTTGGGGGCAATTGTCGTCTCAATATCTCTTGTTATGAACTCATTTTCTTTTTATTTCTTTAAAGCACCTACACCTAGCCACAATCAAACAAACGTACATCCCATTTATTTTTATTGTTTACTTTTATTCGAAAATTGTATACCGTAGTATGATGCGTCGGCATCATCGGCGCAATTCAAAAAATGAATTGTTATTATCATGAACGCTTCTGTGAGATCCAAATGTTTGGTAGAAAGCTCTATGCGAAAACATTTAGTATTTATGTATACAAATTGGAATTTATGTTAAGTGAAAAGCCCCTTCCCCCCCTCAAAAAAATGCGCACCAACAACAAACCAATTCGTATCGATGACATTGAAATGAGATCATGGAAAAATGTTGCAATCACTGAAATCTTTGTTAGATTTTTGACTTTTTAGTTTAATGTGAGATTTGTATTTATTTTTTATTTATTTAATAAATTATTTGTAGAATCGGTATATGTGAAAAGAAAAAAAAAATCAATCACGTTTGTGTTTTATTCCTTGATAACATTCATACGATTCATTTTTCAGCGGATTGTGTGCATACTATAATCAATTGTACGGTGTATGCGCGAAAATGTGTTGAATTTTTCGCGGCGCATTTACCGGTAGCATGTGGTCGGAGCATATGGAAATTGAGCAAGTGAACGTTGCCCCAAGAATGAGAGGTGGAACGCAGCTTTTTTAGCTGTCACAACAACGGTGTGTACTTCATTCATCGTATTTTGACATTTCGCTTTAATTCCTATACGAAACCATGAACGACTTTTGCACTTATACGCACATACACATATTCATAGGCTACCATTCACATTCACTATGACATTCGTACAGTAATTTTTTTTATATTTATTTCATTTTGGACTTACTTTCAGTATTAGTTACATATGTTATGGGAATCAAAGTGAATGTAACGCTCGTTCATCGTATTTTTTTATTCACAATTTACTCTTCCAATTTATCTGTTTTGTAATTTAACTTAATGAGATCCATACGAGACTTATAAAGTGATTTCATTATTTTTTAATTATTTTTTTTTTCATATCAATTCGAAGATTTTTGTTTAAACATTTCCAATTGAAGCGACGAACATTTTTCATCATTCGTCGCGAATAAACAAAAAAGACACAAGAAGATTGTAAATAAAAAAAAAATAAATAAAATAAGTGTGACACGAAAAACGAATTGATTTCATCGAGACTCAAGTGGATAATCTGTTTAGCAACAGTAAGTAATCTTGGCTATTTGTATTAGTGCATTAATTAACTGCATTGAAAAGACTGTGCAGTATCAAAATAAATAAAAAACGATGAAAATGACAAGAAGTCATGACAAAAACAGCGATGCAAAATGACAAAATGATAGCAAAGATTTTTTTTATTTTCATAAATAATGGAAACCGCCTGTCATACGATGCACAGATTTATTTCAAACCTTTAGATGTCAATTGCGTAAGCATATTTTGAAATGGCATGCCTTTCAATCAGGTTTCGCCATAGCAATTGTAAGACATGCATGCATTTTACACCAACTGCATTGGTTTGAATTTTCAAATTTTTTACTAATTACTGTGCGAACTATAAGATTATAGATAAAAAAATACCTGAACAAGTTTAGTCTCTAGTTTATTTCAACATCGAAGTCGTCATTAAGACAAACTTTAACTATCGAAATTATACAAGTTAGCTAACCTTTTTAGCCACTTTGACAGACACTTAATTTCTTACAAGTTTTTGTCAATTTTATCATTATTTATACCTTTTCACGATATGCAAGTACAGATTCAAGTTTTACCCAATTTCGGCTAAAATTGAATTGTTTCAAAAATGATCTGTTTTTTTTTGTTGATCAAATAAAATGCAACGTTAATGCGTCACTGTATCAATAATATTGGAACATTTTTCACGCGAAATCCATACATTTCATCATGCAGAAAATATTTCTTAATTCAATGACCCGTTTCGGCGAAGTTCTTCTTTATCTAAAAGGAATGTTCTTTATTAACTGTCCCACAATGCAATCCATCGTCAGCTAGCGAAGAGAGTAAATACTAAATAATTGTATACATTAATGAGATATTGCGAATATACATTAAAAGTAACTACAGCATGTGAATTTCCGAATTGAGTGGCTACTGCAGTTGAGTTTGGGTGATATAAAATACAAATAGAACATTATCCCTTCATGCAATGTGATATATGTGAGCTTCTAGTGATATAAATATAAATATATGAGAGATAAGTATTTTTAAAATAAAAGAACAAGAGTGTAGATAAGTATCTATTTTGTCATTTCATCGAGAGAGCACACCATTGAAATGTGTAGTTGTTTTCGTGTTCAATGGATGATTTATCATTGAACGCATTAGAATATTTCAACTGATATTCACATTTCATGACCACTACAACCAGTTTTTTTTCTTTAAAAAACACTCTCCACCCATTTGAAATGAATACAAATATATATTGAAAAAACCGTACGGTATCTCTGCTTTGACCGTTTTGGTATCTACATTCATTACAAAATAAGATCCGCATCGATAGCACGAATCGATCAGTGGCAGTGGAGCTAGTTATGATCGAATACATGCTTTGGTTCATGAAGTATGTGCACTTACACAATCGGCTAAGCATGCGATCGATTGGTGCTTGTTAATGTGAAAAAAGTGTATTGAAAAGATGTGGAAAAAAATATTGCCTTAAAAAAATGTTAAATTGACTTATACACAGTTTTTACATCTCTGCCAAAGCAACTTTTGTGTATGAGCCAGCAAAAAATTCCAATATGGAAGTGCCGGTACAACGTTGTTTTTTTATTACAACAAAATAATGAACGGTAGATTCATGACGCTAAACATAAAATAAATGTACAACATTAAATGAACAACAAAACGTTCACGTTTTGAAAGACCTTTTTTCCCGTTTAGTTTGCCATTCTCTTTCTTTGTCTACTTTTTTTCAAATCTCTTTTTTTTTTCATTTGCTTCATTTAACTGTACCAAATGTAAGCCATAAAGAGATTTCGGCTACATTTAATTTTGCGGAACACTTTGGTACATAATTTGTATGCCGTTGTATTCGTTCCAAAAATGGTTTAAATACTTAGCTTGAATGTCACGAATGATTAACGTATTGAATTTCGATGACGTGCTTGATTTTTTTGCCTGACTCCGACTGGTTTCTAATCATCGTTTAAGCTTTATTTGATTCCAATCCAAGAATAAATCGTGACTATAAATGTTAACAAAATAAATTTTTGTTTATGTGGCGTTTTCAAGCAAGACATTCATAACCAAAGCAGAAAAAATATAACAATCACAGAGATAATTGAATATTTTCAAAGTGAAAGTAAGTAATTTGGAGCAATTTTAACATCGGATACAGTATGGTATTAAATCATTAAACTATTCTTTGTTTACTACGGATAAATTGCGGTAAACAAATACACCTTCACTTATGTGTGCTATTACGGTATACCGCCGCATTTTTACCGTCTTTAATGTGGTGAGAAAATTCGTTTCACAAACTGTTTTCGTAATTAAATTTATTTTAAATAGTGCTCGAATTCTTCAAACCAAAACCACAAACATCAAAACTTATCGCTTGAAAATATAGATATGCACTCCAGATTTGCTTCTAATCCACAAATTTCCTGTGGTTTTTTTTTTGTATCTCGGGTAATAAATTTTGACTGATCAAAATCTTATCAATTAAATTGGAAGTAATCGCAGCCTGTCACAACAGTTTTATGTGTGTTTTTATCTCGTTTTTATGAACAAATGAACAAAATTAATTGTCAGAGATGTGATAAAAATATTGCTCAAAGTTCGATATAATTTGTATCTTATCACTGAAGAGTACAGTAACCTCTAAAGAAATGAACTTTCATTTCCGCATTTAGGAAAAACTGTTTTTGATGGACAGACTCACATCTTACATCGTACAAGAAGAAATTGTATGGTTCAGTTCTCTGATAATCATATCTTTGAAAAAATTATTATTGAAAAATTATCCAAAGGATTTGTATTAGGTATTTAAATGATTACGATTATTCTGATGATGGTAAATTTTGTGTTATATGATCTTATCAACATTGTACTCATAATAAATAAAAAATATTTCTTCATATTGTGAACTCAACTTAAGGTGTTTTAAATTATTTAATTAGATTATTTATCGGAGTTTCACGTTTTACGTTCAGTCCACAAACAATATTTAAAAAAAATGATATAGTAAGTGGGTAACTTTTGATTTATCAATTGAGTTTATAATTTTCGGTTTCCAAAGATTTAGTGCTCTCGAGATTTTTCGTTAAATTTTTTGCAAACACACGCCATTTTATTTCGAGATAAGTCGTTCCATTTTACTTTTAAAAGGTAGCGAAAGTGAAAAACATAAATTTTTCAAGTCATTTAGCAAGTTTATTGTATATTCTAAAAATATGTTTTGTCATGCACTTGAGTTTGTTACGTCAATAGTGATAATTAAAGACAAAGGAACATTTTTATTGGGAATTGTTTTTCGTTAGCAACTGAATCAAATTTAAACATTTTGTAATAAATCATATTCGATCGATGCTTTTGAAAATCAAGCTTGAGGGCAATTGAAATGATATAACAAATTGAAAAGCTTCAGTACAGACTATAATATAATAACTGAACCAATTTCAAGACAATGCTATTGAATTTTAATTAATGCTCTGTCGCTGTACATTTCCATGACCTACATCTTTTCGAAGCTCATACACCAGATCTCCGGTGCGTACGTATATTTTGTGCTCGTAAATGGAGAATATAATAAAACGGATTCCAATCATTCTTCGATTTATATCCATATAAATTCCACCGCAGAAGCAATTTCAAACTTACTCTTATTCAGAATATTTTCACATCAAAATGAGCATTCTTCAGTTTACGCGATGGAATTTATGAACATTGAATGTTCACGACTTTGATAATGGTCTTATCATGCTATGCGTAGTTATTTCTTCGTTTCAATATATCTACGTAGAAAGTACTCAACAGGTTCCAATCTTGTTAACATGTATATACATGTGGAACAAAGAAATATGGTGAAATAGTGTTGTAAATAAAGAGGATAATAAGTTTTTATATTATTTCTAAGACGCAATACACACATAAATGCAATATCAATCACTTAAAATTATTCCCTTGCCCAAGGACTCTCCATTTTACAGTAAATGTTTATTTTACATTAAATTATTTGAGAAAAAACGGTTGCAGAATTTTAATGTGAAGATATATAGTGATTGGTTACGGAACGATTGAAAAGTACAATATCGAGAACGACGACTATTGATTAGATAAGAAAACATTATCTATTGATTAAAAATAAAAATCTTCAGACCAAGTAATGTTGATTTCATCGGACAAAACAGTCAGTCAATAATTGTATTCGTACTGTCTTGTTGCGTTTAAATTCAATTTTTTTTTCTCTTTAATTTGAGAAAATAGCCGTCTGTAAGTTCATTGTCATTTATTTCCGTCTCTAAGCTATGTTTTATATTTTACAAGAGTTCATCTGTTGTGTACTCATCACAAAACATTGTTTATTTATTTGAATCAAATATTGTTACACTACATCAAATATGAGATTCTTATTTGATTGTGCGATGCCTTAAAGTTGGTCTCAAACAATTTAAAGCAATTTAAATTGATTATTAAAATGGTCAAACTTCAACGATTTCGTTCTTCGTAAAGATATGTATAAATAGAGAGAGAGAGAGAGAGAATTTCGAAAATAATGGCAGTGTTATTTTTTGCAAATACCATAAATTGAGTATAATTTGCCCCTCATCACCTTTGCACCACAATGAAAATCGTTGCCGATATATCGATAAAGTATATATTCTTCTTTTATTTTCACACATTTCATAGGTTTTAATTACTCAAAATGGATCACAGTGCACATATGGGTCATAATCACGTGGATCACGGAATGGATCACAGTAATATGGATCACAGTAACATGGATCACAGTAACATGGACCACAGTACTATGCATGGTACGATTAATTCTTTCAAAAAAAAAAAACTCTTCGAAAAATGACAAACAAATAATATTTGCAGGCGATAATAGTGGAAATGCCAGACACGATATGGGACATATGATGGATATGACTGTAATTCAACCAATTTTTTTAAATTCAACATCATGACTTTGTGTTAATGGTTATTTTTTTTTCTCCAAATGACAGTTCCATTTCGGCTACACCGAAGAAATTCTTTTTAAACAATGGTCCATTGACAGCACGATGGGTCTCATACTTTCCGTAATATTGATTGCCGCCATGGCCGCACTATACGAAGGCTTGAAATACTATCGTGAATATTTGTTCTGGAAAACGTACAACAGCTTGCAATACCGTGCTGTCACTCTTCCGGATAAAAATGCCGTCGTCGGTGTAAACAGCGAAGATACAACTGGTGTCAAGTGAGTGAATTCGGTTTTCTTTTTTGAATGAATTTAAAGAAGAAAAAAGTGTTCGGACACTTTCATGCTTTGACTGAGAAATTTATGCTCTAGCGCGAGAACGATCAAAATCTCTTTAATCTCCGTTCATATTTAAATTAATTCTGTGTATTTTCTCACACAAATGCAGCATTGTCGGTGAAGTCATGCACAGACAGCCGTAAGTTACTGATGAATTTGTTGCATGTTGCACGCTCTATCGCACTTTTAGCAAATACCAAATATACATAATCACACCAAATTCCAAGCACACCAATTTCTGCTTTTTCAATTTTGATAACCTTTTTTGTTGAAATGTAACTGGTTATGAGTTGATTTGTGTTTTGTTTCTTGATTTTTGTTTTTATAAAAATTTAAAGAATTTTTTTTTCTTAATGTATGCCAAATTCGTATATTATTTATAAGTTTTGTATAGATTGAATTGCTTTGTTTTTTTTATCCCTTTTAAATTTATTGTACTCAAGTATATGACTATTTTATGTTGTTGTTGATGTTGTTTTATGTATAAAACATTATTCTAAAAACCTTCTTATTTCTTCTTCTTTCAAATTAGGCCAAGTATGACATCCTTCATGCACATCTACCAGACATTTTTGCACATTTTGCAAGTGACGTTGAGCTTCTTGCTGATGTTAATATTCATGACCTACAACGTTTGGTTATGCCTTGGTGTTGTTGTTGGTGCAGCAATCGGTTACTTCTTGTTTGGATGGAAAAAGAGTGTTATTGTTGATATTACTGAGCATTGTCACTGAAACCGATCAAAGTTTTTCTTTCGTTTACACAATACAGAAATTTTTTAACTAACGTTACGGAACCATACGTCCGCCGTACTTTTTATAGGTGTAAAAAATAATTTTTTTAAATATATTGTTTCGAAATTTTATTTTGGAAAAAAAACTTAGGCACTTAATAAATGGAATTTAAAAAGGATTGAAATGGATTGAAATTTAAATGCTTGCGATTTTTTTAAAAATAGGAACGAAAAAAGCCAAAGTGAGTATTTTGAATGAAAAATGTTGCTAAGTGTGTTTTTTTATTGAGCATTAAATTGAACATTCATCAAAATAACTTATTTCAAATATTAAATAATTTAAAGGCAAACATCGTAATTTTGGGAACAATTTTAACAAACTATTCATATTTCCAATTAACATTTTGGAAAAAATTGTAACCAATTCATTATAAATTTGTTGAATGGAAGGCAAAAATGAATTTTGAAAAAAAAAACTGAAAAAAGTAAATGAATTTCATAACAATGATTGTGGAATTATGATTGAATATATTGGTATTTCTTCATTTTATATATGTATAATTTGTTTTTTCTTCAAAATGGTTTGAGCCTCAAAGCTAAAATACGTAAAAATGTGAGCAAAAAATGGTTAATCTTTATGGTAAAACATGTATGGTGATCATTATAATGATTATTAAGTATTTAACAAGACCGATTTTCCTCTGCCAACATCCATAATATTCAGTGTAAGCAAAAATCACATAAATCGCAAACACATTGTTTGCGAATGGGTTTTTTAATGAAACTGGTTTCAAACAGTAATTTCGACATTTTTCACTGCATGTGAAAGTTCGACTTTTGATGGAACCAAGTAAAAAGCGGGCGAAACATTTTTACCACAAGGACAATTGCAACTATTGATCCACGTGAAATTGCCGAGCTTCGATTGACATTTGGGGCAATTTAATTTGCCTTGAGTTTGTTTGCCGATATCAAGCATCCATGCCAATGGTTCAATGAACAAGATCTCCTTGCATCGATCTTCTTGTTGTGGTTCACAGCCGGAAGACTTGTCGCTGCTTGAGTTCATGCACAATGTATTCATTCCTTCAAGTAGTCCTTTCGAGCAACCGACCTTTGTATCATCGGTTAAACTTTCGCTTTGAACATGCACATCAGCTTGGAATGTTACATGCTTTGCGTCCGTTGACTTGAGTTCATTGCCAGCGGCATTTGCTGGGGTGTGTGTTATTAAATTACTTTTGGCAGCAACAATTCGTCGACATTTTCGACAACGATACACAATTGGTTCGGGTTTTGATTGTATTAATGCTGGGTCGGGTTTGATTAAATCGCTACAATTTTGTGGTAGAATTTTTGCTTTTCGAACCTTATCGGCAGCCATTCTCAATCGATATAGCTTGAATTTCTCATGATTGGAATCGATGCGCCAACCCATTTTATGGAACAGTCTAAATTGAAACGGGAACTGTCGTAAAAAAAAAACCAATTGAAAGCCATTTGAAAACATCAAACTTACCTTAATTGAACCATAAAACCATTATTCGGTTGCACGAATCTACGTTTTGATTTTACTCTGTAATATAAAATCATTACAGTTTAAATATATGATAGACACTCAATAATATCGCATTACCTTTCGAAAGCTAGTGTCAACGATAGTTGATACTTTTGCATGACATACGCAATAACAATAGTTGCACTTCGTGAGACACCATAGTAACTGAAAAATACATAAATAATGAGAAGAGAGAAAAAAATCCATATCATTCAAACTGTAACGTATACTGTTTTTTTGTGTCATAAATTTGTCCAATTATAAATAACTCATACCAGTGAACCAACACAACTTTATCTTTGGACAATGCATCGTTGATGAAACTAAAGCACTCCTCAAAATGGCATAATAAATCATCCTTGGATGTATCCGAAACTATAACGACAAACACGAAAATAAAATCATGATGATGATGGTGGGTGTTGGATCGCATCTAATTATGCGCCAAGATTGTGTTTGCCTAAAGCCAATTACCGTGAATAAATTTTGATTCAATGAATGGAAGCTCTGTTATATGAATAGGTAAAGGGCAAATGTCGAGCGTTAAAATATGTGTAACTTTTCGTTGTTTCAGTGTTTCCAAGTCAGAGGCAGCACTAAAACTTCCTGAAAATTATTTATATTTTTAATGCGCACACATATTAAATTATTAACATTGACATTTAATTTGTTTTGATGTTATTCCAACTGAATGGAACATACCAAGCAACAAGCCTTTTTCAATTTCATCTAAACTAATCGGATTATCACAATCGGTTTCACTGTTTTCGGCTCCTTTTCCACTCATTTTCGAATAATTTTTGTTATCGTCTCATACATTCTGTACGCACAGAATATAAAACATGAGCTCTATATCGTCTCTGTTTAAAAAAACTAATGTCATTGACACATTTAAGAACACATCCTTATTCACACACTGCTCACTGTGAAATAACAAATGTGTATCATTTCAGCTCGGTGATTCTCAGGCAACCAAGCAATTTTCCGCTTTGCCCCTTTTTTACACTGATATTATCAGTCAATGGTACATGTCATTTTTTTGTATTTGTTTCTGTCAAATAATGTTGTTTTGACATTTTGACAGAAATTCCAGAATATTGTAAATATCAGCACATGAAAATAAATTGTCGATTTACAATTTTGGTATTTGATTTGCTTTTCGAATCTTCAAAACTTGTTTATTAAATAAACGTGCAGAAAATTGACAATTGCCGCCTGGCATCGATGACAGTCTACAATTGTTTCCCCTTCGCAAGTAAACAAACTGGTGATTGACATTTACTGTAAATAAAACGTGTGTTTTCAGCGATACATCAAAATAACAAACGACTTTTCTGATAGCGCATCAACGAATGATGCCAAAAATAAAATCGAAAGTGTTATAATATAGACATTGAAGATAGATTCGGTAAACACATCGAAAGATATTTTAGTGCTTTAAGATTTCAATGTTAGATATACATGTAATTGCATTACGTATTGCGTTTGTTTTTCTCGCGCGCAAAAACATGTGATCGGAGTTGATGGGTTGAAATATTGAATGATGCAGCCGGGCCCCTTCTAAAAATAGACTTTTGCTAATATTCATGTTAATTTTGTTGTTGATGTTTTGAACATAGTACCAGTTCAGAGGTGTTCTCTTTTCGCTACGCTACAGAGTGCAATTTGTTGTTTAACAAGCAAGAAATATGTTGAAAAATAACTTGAAAATTATTCGCAAAGGAAAATGTATTTTAAAAGAGCAACCATTTGTCTATGTTTTGAAGTCAAAATATCGCACCGATCGATGTGATTCATGCCTGAAGACCGGCCATCTGTAAGTCATATTACAATAAATCGATTGAATTTAACCACTTTTATTTACTGTCGTGAAAAAAATAAATAAAAACGAATTTGAGCTATAACAAGCCATTTCCATACATGTCGACGACAGTAATAAAAGACGATCAAATAATTATTTTATTGATTTTTTAAAATTGTTTTATTATCGGTTTACAGTGGAAAAGTGCTAAAATGTTCTGGCTGCCAATACGTTTATTATTGCAATCGTGAGTGCCAAACAAATGGTTGGAAAATACACAAAGCAGAATGTGTGTGTCTAAAACGAGCTGCAGGTAAAATTGTTCCGGATGCAGCTCGTGTCATTTTACGAATCATACTTAAACTAAACGATGGCGGTGGCGCAGAGAAGGGGTATTACACTGATAAATTTTATCGCAAATTTAAAGATTTAATGTCACGTACGTCATTTGTTTATTATTATTTAATATAATGAGCATAATTTTATGCCAAATTAACATATCCATTATATTTTGGCAGACTTTCCCGACATTCAGAATGATCAGCGTCGAATCGAACACGTTGAATCGCTAACAGCTGTACTGCATAATATTCTCACCGTTGATTTAATGCCAAACCAAACGGATTTCTTGGCAATCTACGGACGAGTATGTTCACTTTTTTTTATAGAATTTATACTATGTATTAATTTTTCACATTTTTTTGTTGTTGCACAGATGATCGTGAATGCGTTTAATATATTGGACCAAGAAATGAACTCAATTGGAACCGGCATTTATTTGGGTGTATCTGTAACAGATCACAGCTGCAAGCCAAATGCGGTGGCAACATTTGATGGAATAACACTTTACATCCGAACAATCGAAGATCTACCTTCGGTCGACTGGTCAAAGGTAATATTTACCTGTTTATTGTGCACTGGTTTAACCGACTTTGAAAATGATAGACTTTTTAATCATCTCTTACTAAAAGATCACACTTGCAATTTCATGCTCATATCGTTTTTTGACAAAACTAGATATTCATTTCTTATGTGGATTTGATGGATACCACCGAGACGCGACGTCATGATTTGGAGAAGAACTACTACTTTTTATGCAAGTGTGAAAGATGTTTGGGTAGGGGTTTTCTCATCATAACAACCAAGAATTTTTACAATAAATTGCCAATTAATTAATTAATTTTTATTTAATCCAGACGATAAAGAGCCGATTGAAATGAATGCTGGCGCCTGTCCAAATGCAAAATGCCAAGCATTCATCAGTTTTGATACAATCAAAAGCTATCCAACAAAATGTGCGAAGTGCAATGAATGCATTTCGGAGAAAGATGCTCAACGTTTCAAAGATATTATGCAAACAACTCGAATGCATTTGGACTCCATGAAAATGTCCAGCGTTGCATGTAAGTTCGCTACTTTTGGTCTTTCAAGATGATAAAACATATCAATATCATTTTTACATTCATGGCATTTTTTGTTTCATAGACTTAGATATTTGCAGTATTTTGGTTGCCAAACAACGTGGGGTTTTGCATAAAATGAATGTTTTATTCCTGAAAACACTGGATTTGGCATTTGAAAGTGCAATTGGTGTTGAAAAATGGGATGAAGCTCTCGAGTATGGCATGGAACTATTACCAGGATTTCGGTTGGTATCAGGGCTATGATTGTAATTTCCCTTCATTCATTCTCAATCTTTATTCTTTTACAATAGGAAATACAACGGTGACTTCAATCCATTGGTCGGCTTGCTACACATGAAAGTTGGCAAAATTCAATTATTCAAAAATTATCCAAGAGATGCATTGCATAATTTGAACAAAGCGAGTGATATACTGAAAATAACCTATGGCGAAGAGCATAATTTATATAAAAATGAATTGGTACCGTTATTGATACAGGCAGCCAACGAATGTGATCAAAATGATTCAGACTGAATTAAAACCCACTTGCAAAATTGTTGTCGAAAAATAAAAAAAATTATGTCGAAAAACAAAAGTCTATTTATAAAAGAAACCAAAACAATTTGAACATTTCCCCTGCAAAATGTTCCTATCGGGCAATCCGAAATGTAAATTTGACACTTCTGTCAATTAGTAGTCAACGCACATGCTTTTCTATTGTGAAAGCAACACACTCCAACACATGCGAACAATAACAAAACATTCAAATCGCATTTGGTGAAACTATTTTTTTTAAATATCGGACAAAAGTAACACAAATTCAGAATGACATCCTTCAAGAGATTGAATACCGAAAAGTATTTAAAAGCGGCTCGAATTCAAACCGAAGACACACTTTATTGGAAGAAATTATCGGTAAGTTTTGTAAAACATTGAAGGTTATGTCTATAGGAACAAACTAATGCTTCTTAAATCTTGGTATTAAAGGTGCCAACATTGGTGAAAGAGTTCGGTGCAATTGATTACATTGATTTTTCGCCCGCTGATCCATACAATTTTGCGGTTTCATGTTCGGTGCGAGTGCAAATCTACAATCCACTCACCAAATTAGTTGTACAAAATATATCGGCGTTTGAGAAGAATGCGTACGGTGCAACATTCCGAAAAGATGGTCGTCTATTGGTGGCTGGCGAAGAGAATGGAACTGTTCGACTTTTTGAAAGTTCATCAAAAAATCCATTGCGTATTTTCCGTGGACATACGGCTGCTGTGCATCGTGTTTCATTCACCGCCGATAACACGCAAATAGTCAGTTTTTCAGATGATCGAACGTGTAGATTGTGGGATATTGCCACGGAAAAAGTGATTCAAAGTTATGAAGAGCATCGTGATTATATTCGTGCCGGTTGTGCTAGTCCAATTTCACCGAATATTTTCGTTTCGGGCGGCTACGATAAGGTGGTAAAAATGTTTGACATTCGAGTTGGAGGTTTGAATGAAAAGAGCGTCATATTTGAAGTGAATCATGATCGGCCGGTTGAAGCTTTGATGTGGCTACCAACGGGTGGAATATTCTTGAGTGCTGGCGGCACATCAATCAAAGTGTGGGATGCATTTGCATCTGGCAAACAAATCGCACAGATTTCAGAACATCATAAAACAATCACATGTCTACGAATGGCCAGCAATGGACGGAGATTTATGTCATCGGGTCTTGATCGTCATGTTAAAGTATATGATATTGCAAATTATCAATCGGTTCATTCGTTTGATTTTCCAAATGCGGTACTAAGTTTGGGCGTTTGTCCCAATGACGAAGCACTGGTTGCCGGTATGGTTGATGGATTAATATCAATCCAACGAATGGAAAATGACACAGACACAGCACTGAAAGTACCAAAAAGCCGAAAAGTTATACCAATCAATGAGACACAAGTCGATGAGGTTGTTGAGGATTATGATCGAACGATCGGAGCCAAATACGACAAATTCCTGAGAAAATATGATTATACAGCCGCTTTGAATGTGGTTCTAGTTCCTTATGTGATGAATAAAAATCCACATATTACCGTCACTTTAATGCAGGAATTGATTCGACGGAAAGGCTTGGAAAGGTATGGTTGATGTATAATTTCATCTAAATTTGATTTAGATTTTTAATTCTTTTTTTTTTGTCTTTGATAACTTACAGAGCACTCGCCGGCCGAAGTAATGACTCATTAGCAAAAATTATTCTCTTCATTATTCGATACATCGGAGATCATAGATTCTCGAGAGTGTTAATTGATGCGGCCAATATACTGTTGAATGTTTATGAAGATCAATTCAAAGAATTTACGGGTCCGGTTGGACGTAGTTTCATCAATTTGGCCAAGGCATTGCATCGTGAAGAAAAAGTAACGAGAGACTTTTTACAAGTACAAGGAGCATTAGAGCTAGTTATGTCCGGCGCAAGTATTTCAGAACGAGGAACAACAAATATTGCTCCGCTTGATATCAGCAGAATACAGAAAAAATCCGATCTTGTACCATCCGAAACAGCAAAAAAACAGTTAATTATTGATGTTAATTGATAGAATTTATCCAAAATACGAAGTAATAAATGAAAAACCTTTTTTAAAACTATTTATGCCAACTGACTTAATTATATTCCGAAAATCATTGGGCAACCCTTGTATGCACTTAGTAATTACTACCCCCTGATTACCAACCTCTAATTTGCTTTCTAATAATGACGACATTGGTGTTAACATGACTTTTGTCTTTAGATACTACAATCATTCCAAAACTAAACGCGTACAGATCAGTGCAGCATCATTTTTACAAAGTCAAAACGTAAACAATAAAAATTCGATATTTCCATTTGTACCAATTTTCAGTTGTGTGAAATGGCTGAACGAAAAGAACTCATCAACAGCTTGAGAAAATCGACATCTAAGAGGTTTGTAATTTTTATTTTTATTATTATTTGTAACAAGTTTTTTTTAAACTCTTCATTCGAGACTTGAAAGGACTCTTCTGTCCATGGTTTTGTAGTCAAGTTTTCAAAAAAACTGAATTTTTGGAAAAAAAAATATTCTGATTTAAAAATCAATTTTGTGTTTTAGTGTCACTTTATTCGAAAAACCATTAAAACGATTGGATGGTGTACCTCGGTCATGGACAGTGTCACGGTTGTCTCGTGATAAAGCTGGCTTACGTCGATTCAGCGATGAAAATAGTTTGCAGGAACGGAGCCGATCTACAATATCAACACCATTACACAGTTGTTCTTCGGCCGCACGGTATTCAACGGCCTCAAGAGACAACCTAACAAAATCGAAACATGAAAATATAGTGAAATTGCAGGAGATTTTAAAACGTCATAACTTTTCCAATGCTGCATTAAATCTCAAAAATGATTGCATGAAATCGATAACCATCAATCAATTTCACCTGATCATGGATCATTTTGTTTATTTGATTACCGGAAAAGAATTGAAAACATTCACACCGAATAGAAACGGTGGTCCAAATAAAAAATCTGATCAAAAACAAATAACGATCGAAGGCATTCTAAATTTTTTGAAGCAAGTACGGTATCCACACACAGTCACCAAATCAATGTTAAAAATACCAAATGCACCGCACACATTTGATCAAATGGTCCTTATGTTACTATGGCTAGCAGATATTGCCAGTGTATCAACCATTGCTGCCGACGAACCAATTGAAAAATATACATTAGCTTCTTCGAAAGAAATGCAAGATGGATACTTGTTATGGGGCAAAGATAATAGTAAACACGATGTACTAGTTAAACGTATGACAGATAATTTAATTGCCGCCAAATTGGATAACAAAGTAACTTCAGAGGCGGAGCTGCAACTATTAACCGAAAATTTGAAACTTAAATCTCAAGAATTCGTTGAAAATTCAGTTCATTTGAAGAAGATCCACCAATTTGAACAATTGGAATCCAAATATCTAGAATATGAAACAAAGGAACATGATTTAATAAAACAACTTAAAGATAAACGTGATCGTTTGGCCGCTCTTCATGTGAAAATGAATGATAAACGCATCCAAATGCGGAAATCTCATGGAAGGATGATTGAATGCGTTCAAAAACGAGAAGACTATCAGAGATTGGGCAAACAGATTTCACTTTTGAAAGCATCAATTGTTACACTGGAAAACGGGAAACAGCACATAAAAGACGAGGATTTCAGTGATCAAATCAAGTATGCTCGAATCGTAAAAAATGTTTCAACCGTGATCTCCGATATCAATAATCGTAGTATGCAAATTATAAAAGTGCTCAACAATTCTCAAAACAAAACAGTCAGCGAATGTGAATTGAATAAATTGCTTTTGCCAGCAACACCATCCTTTGAACAAGTAGAGCAGGTCAATCAATATTTCTTGCATATTTATAGTGTGGTTGAAATTGAAAAGTTCAAAGGGAAAATGAAACTTGATCAAGCCATCATTGAAATGAATGTGCTCAAAGCTGAATCGATTGCATTAACCAAGGAAATCAAAAGCGAACAGAAGAGCTATGACAAGCATGCAAATGACTACGACGTATTGGAGAAAAACGCTGCGATGAAAAACCGAAAGAATGAAAATTCTACACGGGATTTGTGTAAGCAAGCTGATGATGCAAAAGCAAAACTTCAATCGTTGAAAGATAAAATTATTGCAGCACTTGCAGAAGAGATGAAAATGAAAACGGAAAACGCAAGAATTATGGCAGACGGTGAAGCACAAGCGAAAAAAATTCGGGCAGAAAAAGATCGTCTGGCCGATCAGATGGATGAAATTGATAAAATACTGGATGAAAAGTTCGAAGGTCTTGATTATCCGGAATAGACACTGAACTCAAGTATACTTGTCAAATAAATGGCTTTTCATCAAAATAATAAATACAAATTGTTTAATTTTATAAATATTGACATTGGGTCGTTTTGGAATAAATAATACACATCATATTTCACACAATTATATCTTTTGATTATAGGTCTTTATTGCACCGAAAAAAGTGATCTCCAAAAAACGGAGAAACCCTCTTTTTGTTAGAAGTTTTCGCCGATAAAATTCATCTAATTTTAGTCAGAAATTAAAAACAAACGTTTCGATCTTTTAATTTTAGAAAATTTGAATTTGGAGACGAATTTTTATTGAATTTATGGCCGAACAAATTTGTTGAGACATTTTGGAGCTTCAACCAATGTCGATACTGCGAATTTACGTTGGAAATTCCATTAAATTAGATGAATAAGCACTGATTACCGATTAGAGCTCAAGTTAGTATTTTTTTGTTTTGGAAACGAGAATATTAATTTGCGACCAAGTGCACTGACATCCAAAACGTAACTGAATAATTCTATTCGAATTGAAGAACATTTACTGCGGCGCAGCGCACTATCCAGATATGCTTCAACACATTAACAATTTAAATGTTTTTCATACCATGTGGAAATACATCCAGATTTGAAAACTGCAATTACGTGACAAACGTTTGCTCTAAATGGTTTTAGGGACATTTGGAGATAAATGTGTATTTCATATATTGCCATTCATACAACGATGTGTAATCAGGGACCGGTTCGCGCATATTTCTATGCCTGACAGCTATGCTAAGCATAGCGGAGACGCAAGCCGCAACGCACCCGTCGTCATTCGATTCGAGCTATATTGTATGCGTACGTCCCTCAATGCACGGTCGCCTGCATACATGTTCGTTGTATTGTTCATATAGAGTGAACGGCGATGCGTCGCTTGCGTTTGCGGCTATGATTGGCATATCTATGCTACCTAGCGTATTTAGGCAAGCATAGAAATATGCCCGAACCGGTCCCTGTGTGTAATAGTATATGAAACAAATGGGCATCGATTGGTGAAACGGCCGAGAAAATCTGAAACAAATGTTCGATGAAATACAGTTCTTCCGTGCACACCTGAAACAATAAAAACTTTTAGAAAATATAAATAACTGCCAAGTAAGCTCGGCCTCGGAGACTCCTAGAAATCTGATACAAATCAATTGCAACAAGGACATTTTCCAAGAGGTTCTTTCCAAGACATTTTTTTCTTGACATTTTCACTGTTGATTTTCATTGATGTTATGCTCGTCTGACGTACATATAATAAAATTGAGACGGTTAACGTAAAGTCTGATAAAAGTGACTTCTTTTTTGTTTAAAATCAGATACATGACTTGTACGTACCAAGTATATTATATTATTCATGTAACAAGAACCGTTTTTAACTTGGTTTTTAATATCGATATTAATGAAGTATCATAAAAAAGGAATA